TCCTTGGCTGGCCAGGCTGGCCTCCTGGATGAGCGGGTAGGCATGCAGAAACTTGATCCCCTGCTCCAATCGAACCGGATCAATCAGTTGGGGTGCCATCTTCCCAGTGTACATCAGATGGAGGAGATAGCTGAAAATGTCGGGCTGGATGTCAGTAGGCTTCAAACGGACACACTCACTGAAAAAACAAGAAAAAAGTCTGTGAGAGAATGTCAATCCATGTCTCAAAAGATAACACAAAATGAAGGAAAATTTAGGTATTTTAAAGGCAAATTAAACAAGAATATCTCCCACGGCTTACTGTTAGTTTCATGAAATGGAATGGAATACTCAAGAGAGAAGGAAAACTTAGGTAATTTAACTTTAATCCTATTAAGAACACACAGAAATACAATACATATATTTTAAAGGGCTGAAAAAGGACTATTCATATTAAACAAATGTGGTATCTTAACTCAGACTTTTTTTATTTTAGTCTAATCGGTTTACAATGTTGTGTTAATTTCTGGTATACAGCATATTAACTTATAGACTCTTGAAGCAGCTTTTTTCCTAGTAATCTATGTAAAATTATACCACATAAGAAGGTTTGTGTTTTATGGAGAAGATCCAGTGCTCTTTATCAGTCTGAGAGTGGCCCATGACCCAGTGATGGTTAAGAACCACTGACCTGGCAGATCTTTTAGTTAAACGCCTAGGACTCTATGGATCCAATGCCATCCAAAGCTCAGCAGATCTTTTAAGGTAAGTCAAACAACACATCAGATTAGCAAGTTTCGCACTTGTAATATAACATGGGGGAGCTACACTGGTGCCTAAGAGCAAGACAACAAAAGTGAGAAAAAATAAAATCTCATTCTGTGGGTGCTCAGCCACCCCATGCCCCCTCTCCAGCATGAAGGTAGAAGCGGGAAGAAAAGGCAAGTGAGCCACATTCTAGCTTGAACGGAGTCAGGTCACCCCTCCCAGTATTGCAGATTGCATTAAAAGCAGCTCCAGGACAACTCAGTTCCTGATCACATGTAATCATCTTCATCATTAGAACTGCAGCTGGGATGTACAGGCATTATCTCACTTAATTGCCATTAATTCTCATTTTACAGATAAGGGATTAGGGCACAAAGGGATTTATACCTTGCTCAATATCAGAGTTAGTCAATGGTGGAACTGGGATTTAAATCTGAATCTAATCCTAAACCAGAACACCAAGATTCTTTGGAGCATTGAAATAATCTTGTGTAGCAGATGAGGCAGATCTGATTATTCCCATTTGACAGATATAGAAACTGAGGTCTCTGCAAGTTAAATGATTTATCTGAGGTACCTAAAGCAGTTGTGGCAAAACTGATTTTCTAACTTTCAGACTTCAGTGTTTGCATCATCCCAAAAACAGCATTCTGGTTCAAGGAGCAATAATAAAAAGGTCCCAAGAACGCTCCTCTGACTGTCAGTAAGGGCAGAAATTCTCATTAGAAATCAATGAGATATATAGGTCTACACATTAAGAGGCGTATGTGCTACCATCCCGAGTGAATACATTCTATAGACAGTGCAGTTTTCAACTTCAAAGCCGTCTTCCTTGAATGTCTTTAGAATTTGTAATCACTTCTAACTGATTATACCACTTATTCCTATTATGACTTTTTGTCCCCTTTGGCTGTTTATCTTACTCACAAATATTTTCCAGTATGCTAAAATACTAACAGTATATGCTGCGCTTCTAAATTTAATATTTTATTCCATTAAAAAGATGAAAAAATGACTTTGATAGCAATTTGTGACAGAACAGATTTGAATAATTCAATGTGTGTATATTTCAAGATGACCGCATACAGACAATCATGTGGAAAATGTTCGACTATAATGTATAGAAGTCAAAGAATGAAGATCAAGCATAAAAACTAGCATCCCTCTGACAGTGTAAAGGGGAAAAGTCTGTGTGACTCTGTTTGTAAAAAAGACAGATCGTTCCTGTCTTTATTTGTTGTCTTTGTATAGTCCTTTGGATTATCTATATTCTTTAAATAGGAATGTAGATGGAGGTGGTCTTCCTCCAAGCCCGAGGAGAGTGCCAACACTACTACGCGGGTGTATGAGAACACACTTAGATGCTCTAGGGAATCTCAGTATTCAAAGTAAAGCTTCAGGGATTACCTGCGGTGAAGACTACTTTCATAATGTAAACAATCAACTCCAGATTGAAAACTTAACCAGGAGGGATCTTTCCCGGGTCAGGCAGAGGCCTAGGGAGCCTGGAAACCACAGGCCTTTGGAGATGCAAATCACCCCCAGGAGACCAGAGGGCACCTTTGTTCTTTGAGGGTGGAATGCTCCTCCAGGCAGGAGGAGAGGAGAGCATTAGCGAGCCCCTCTGCCTCCAGGGAAAAGAAAAGTGAAGGGCAAAAACCCAGAGCAGGGCTAGATTTTTCAGCATCTCTGAGAGGTAAATGCCAAGCAGGGCCCCATTCCAGAAAAACTCTGTTGTAAGTTTTATGGTTTTCCCTCATTTGTTATTGTATAGGTTGCCCTCTATCTGGGGGACTGTGAACGGAAGTGACTGGGCAGGCCCCCGTCCACACTTCAGCCAGGCTTAGAGGGAGAACGAGGCTCGAGGCTCACAGAGCTGGTGAGGAGGGGAAGCCTGCAGGTCCCTGGGGCTTACAGCCAACGCCCAGGGCCCGGGGAGGTTTCCAGACGTCAATTTATTTTGATTTGTGCATCTTCAACTTTTTTTTCTTAAAGCAGAAGCACATAGACATGCTCAGACACTTAAAAAGTAATTTTTAAAAGTTCCTTATGAGGGGGGAGGGTATATCTCAGTGGTAGAGTGCCTGCTTAGCATGTACGAGGTCTTGGATTCAATCCCTAGTACTTCCATTAAAAAAGTAAATAAATAAATACAAACCTAATTACCTCTCTCCTCCCCAAAAGACAATGGAGAATAAATAAATATTAAAAAGAAAAAAAAATCCTTATGTCACGTTCCAGCCATCACCATCCTTGATGGCTCTCACTCCCAGGCAGCCAGACCTCCTGCCAATCACTCAGTTTGCTCTGGGCCACTCTGGATATTTCCAGGTCCTTTTGGAAGGACAGTCACACTCTACAACATAACTACACCTAAGTGGTTTGATTTGCAGATGTCTGTTGGACTTAACACTTTCAGGTAGGAAAAATACAGTTTTATTAGCACAGCTACAAGCCCTTTGTATAAACTTTCACCATACCTTACATTTTTTGTTTTTCTTTCACTAGGCTCTTTAAATAACAGATGGACTTAAAGAACTTTGAAAAGAAGGATTTTAAACTAATGTTAGACACCTTCAGAGGTTGTAGTGAGTAAGGCCTACAGTTTTATTTTCGAGAGCTTCAAGTTTGCAGTCCTACACGATTTAAAACTTACACTTAGAGGAGTGCACGTAAGACAGAGACATCTAGTGGTAACTGTAGACATGAAAGACTCTACACTCCAAACTAAGTGTGAACCTCTCTCACAGGTGGGCAAGGCCTCAGCCGCCCAATGGGACGCCCAGCTCTGTGTCCCTAACAGATTACAGCCTCCACCTGGGGCGCCTTTGTTAGAAAGGCATTTACTTACTGCTCTACACTCAACATGAGTTTCCTGCGTCTACTTAAAACTCATTAAATTGTATTCTTTCATTCCTCAAAAATGAAAACCTTCCCCTTTTCAAGGCAATTTAATTCATTGTGTTGGGACTTAGCTAAGAGGTCTCTGAGAATGAAGGAAAAGGGAAGATCCTTGGTGTCACAGGATAAGGCAACCTCCACCTGCCATTAGCCCTATTAATCACCCATTCTGCTCCTCTAGACATTTACCAAGTGGCTACTATGTACAAATTCTCAGAACTACAGGCTGTGATGTTCAAAAACATTTGTGAAACCCAGTCTCTGCCCTCAAGCATCTTACAAATGAGGAGGAGAGGTAAATATGCAGATAACAACAAAGGGGAAACAGGTCCCTCTAACAAAGTGGCAAAAAAAAAGTGCTACGAGATGTGAGAGAAGAGATGGCTTTTGATCATCTTGGGTCACTTGACTGTTGGGGGCGGGAGGGGTCATGGAAGAGGTGATGTGTGTTGTGAACTAGGGGTCAGGGAGTGAGCAGAAGGCTAGCACAATGTGGTTCAGGTGAGGGGTGGGGTGCTTCTAGGGGATGCAGCCGGAGGCTTGCTGGAAGCAGGTCAGGCTCCAAGCCTGTGGGGGCCTTAAAGACAGAACGGGGAATCTGTGCACTACTGTGATGTGGATGGGGTCCTCAAGATTTCCAGTCGAGGGCATAACACAATCTGGTAGATTTCTGAGCAAAGGCACACTTCAAACAAAGCAATGCTTAGGAATACTGATCTGACAATAATGTGGAAAATGATTAGGAAATGGAAGTGAGAAGGGAAAAAAAGAACTAATGGGAAAGGTAATTTTGAAGAAAACATGATTTGGAGACTGATAAAATATGATTTTTAAGAGATTTTAAGTATGGGTTACTTGAAGATTAAAAAATAGGGAAGTCAGGAGGGATTCTGGGGAAGACAATTCAATTGTAGACATGTGAAATGAGATAAAAAGAGGGTGTTCAATTCTAGATGTCCAGCAGGCAGCCTGGAGCCTTGGGAAACAGTTCTAGAGGCAGAAAGATCAAGGCCAGAGCTGCCAACTGGCTTCCAGCAGAAGCAAGATCCAGGAAGAAGACAAGCGCCCATCAAGACGGGCAGGGAGAGAGCAGCATGGAGACCAAACTCCTCCAAACTGCAGGAGGCACCTGTGGAGAAGGCAGAAAAACACAGGGTGCTCAGAGTTATCAAAATGCAGATGAGAACCCTTAAGAAGGGAGAAAACAGTTGCAAGTGCTGCAGAGGACAAGGGTGACAGAGACTGAGAGAACAGCGGTGGTTCTGATGAAAAGGTGACCTTTGAGAAATGATGTCGGTGGAGTGATGGGGTGGAAACCACCGAGCCAACGGGTAGGAAGAGCGTGGGGTGAGGAAAGCAGAAGTGCGGCCACAGAGCACCCTTTGAAGAACGGTCACAGTAAAACAAAGAGAAGCAGCATCATAACTCAGGTAGACAGCTGAGTCATGGAAGGGCTCGTCCTGCCTGGACTGGGGCGGTGGTGGGGGTACAGGTATAAAATGAAGAGCACAGAATAACAACTATGGGGTAGGATCTGGGAGCATGAAGGCAAGAGGAAGATCGTTTTCCTTAGATAATCAGGGGCCCTTTTCTCCAAGATGGGAGAGAGTGGAAGAAAAAAGCTGAGCAGAGGTACTGAGATTAAGACGTTTTAAGAGAGAAAAGAAGGAAATTGGGGAATTCAAGCCATCAAGTTTCTCACTAGGAGACAAGGATAAATAACTGAAAGTCAAGGAGGAGGCTTGGGACAGGGGCTGGAGGAGTGAGAAGTTAATGAGGTCCTGCCTCTGCCTTCCTAATGGACCTGATCCCAACTGTGCAGGGAACACCCAGCAAGGATCTTTGGAGGTGGAGGGTCAAGTGAGGTCACAAGGGTCTGGGGCCCAGGAGCCTTGGGAGAGGTCGCGAGACCCATGGTCTTGATGAGGGCAAAGGAGCAGGTTCAGTGGAAAAGTGGGCACGGAAGTTCAGAGTCTACAGTCATTAGATTATTATCAACCACGTTAGTTACCTGGTCTGATGGACAAACAACATCTTAAAGTAATTGGAGAATGAAGCAAGAACTGATTTGTGTGCCTTGAAGTACACATCGCCGATGGCAACCGTGCAGTCACACAGGAAACCAAACTCTCGCTGAGCGTTTAACTGTTGCAGGAGAATAAGTCCATGGTTGGCCAAATCCATTTTTTAAAAAATCTGCAAAGCAAACAATTTTTTTTTAAGAAAGGTGATTCACAAATAAGTATGTGTCCTTTTTAGTCACCAATAGTAATGATCACATCGAATACATCCAGGCACTGCTAGAAACGTTACATAAACTCACTCAGTCTTCATAACAGCCCTCTGCAGTGGTTCTGCCGTTACTCCCATTTTACAGATGATGAAACTTATGGTCAATTTCGGGAGCATATGATTTGTCCGAGGATACACGGATGGTAAGTGAAGGAATCAGGAAATGGACTCGAGCAGTCAGTCCTTGAGAGGGCAAACATTCCTGGATCTTTTTGGCTTTGAGTTTAAGATTCCAAATGCAAATTCTAATGATCCATCAGAAGTTGTCAAATCTTCTACAGAGATAAGTAAATTAAGGTGCTGGGGTGGGGCCCCGGCAGGGCTGTAATAACCCACATGAGCAGGATGGGTGCTCTTCTCCCTCTTTTGTGGAGGAGGAAATGGGCTTGGAGAGGTGGAAGTAGTCAGCCTGGGCCATCTGGCCAGAAGGTAGGGGAGGCAAAATTTAAATCTGAATGTTCTGACCCTCCAATTCTAAGCTCTTTATTCCCTGTACCTCACTCAAGGAAACCACTTGGCCTGATCTCTCTGTAGTAGGGAAACTACCTCTGGAGGAACCAGTGTATCAAATCAGTAAACTGCTCCTTCCCCATGGTCAAACAGCATTTTATAAAAGCCCAGCACACATCGATCAACAGTAATGGTATACTTAATGAAAGAGCAAATTCTTCCTCCTTAAGACTGAGAACAAGGCAAGGCTGTCCATTCTCACTATTCAGTATAGTATAGGATGTTCTAGCCAGTGCAATAAAGCAAGAAAGGAAATAAAAGGCATACAGATAGGAAATGAAGAAAGAAAATTGTCCCTATTTGCAGATGACATGAGTTTTACATAGAAAATCCCAAAGAATCTACACAACCTCATGGAATTATTAAATGACTTGACCATGCCACAGGATACAAGATAAACATAAAAATCAACTATAGGACACTAATGAACTCATCTACAAAACAGAAACAGACTTGCAGACAGAGTAAACAATCTTACGGGTACCAGTGGAAAGAGGGTGGGAAGGGATAAACTTGGGAGTTTGAGATTTGCACATGTTAACCACTATTATAAAAATAGATAAAAAACAAATTTCTTCTGTATAGCACAGGAAACTATATTCAATATCATGTAATAACCTTTGATGAAAAAGAATATGTAAACAAATACACGTATACACATGCATGACTGGGACATTATACTGTACACCAGAAATTGACACACTGTAACTGACCATACTTCAATTTAAAAAAAGATCAGCTGTAATTCTATATACTAACATTGAACATGTGGACACTGAGATTAGAAATATAATATACCATTTACAATCACAAAAAACTAAAGTACACAGGTGTAAATCTAACAAAATATGTATAGTATTTGTATGTTGAAACCTACAAAGTACCGATGAAAGAAATCAAAGAAAAGCTAAATAAATGGAGACATACTGTATTTACATTTAGGGAGACAAATAATAAAAATCAATTTTCTGAGTCAATATATGGGTTTGATACAATTCTTATCAAAATCCAAGCAAGATTTTCTTTGTAGATACAGACAAGAATATTTTAAAATGTTTACATCAAAGCAAAGAAATTGGAATAGCTAAAACAGTTCTTAAAAAGAGTCACAAAGTGGGAGGAGTCAGTCTATCCAATTTCAAGATGTATTATATAGTTACAGTATTCAGGACTGTGTGGTACTGACAGAGAGATAAACACAAAGATCAACAGAACAGAATAGGGAACCCAGGAGCAGATCCTCACAAACATGTACAGTTGATTTTTGACAAAGGCACAAAAACAATTCAGCAGAGGAAGAGTAATTTTCAACAAATGATGCTGGATCAACTGGACTTCCATAGACAAAAAGCAAAAGCAAAAACAAAAACCAAACAAAGCTCACTATGATCTAAGTTTCATACACTCTATAAAACTTAACTCACAAAACGCACCACAGACTCCAATGTAAAATACCGAACTATAGCTTTAGGAAAAAGAAAAAAAGTGATAAAATCTTAGGGAATGTAGGATCAGATGTAGAGTTTTTATACTTGACATCAAAAGTACAGTCCATAAAAGGAGAAATTGCCAAACCAGACTTCATAAAAATTAAAAACTTTTGTTCTGAGGAAGCCCCTGTTAAGAGGATGAAAAGACAAGATAAAGACAAGGGAAAAAATGTGATAAAGGACCAGTATCTAGAATATATAAGGAATTCTCAAACCTCAGTAGTACAAAAACAGTCGAATTAGAAAATGGTCAATAGACTTGAAGTGACATTGTACCAAAGAAAATATTCAGATGGCAAATAAACACATGAAAAAGACATTCAACATCATGAGCGATTAGTGAAAAGCAAATTAAAACCATGACAAGATTTCACTACATGCCTATCAGGGTGGCCAAAATAAAAAAATACCACCACCAAATGCTGGCAAGGATGCTGAGAAACCCGACTGCTTGTATCACTGCCGGTGGGAATGTAAAATGGTGTAGACACTCTGGAAAACAGCAGGTTCTTTAAAAACTAAATACGCAACTACCACACTACCCAGCAATTGCACTCACGGATGTTTATCCCAGAGAAATGAAAACTTAGGTTCGCACAAAAATGTGTATATGATATCCACAGCAGCTTTATTCCTCAGGCAAAAACTAGAGGCAACCCAGATGCTTCCATAGGTGAACAGGTAAACACTGTGGCATGCCCAAACCATAGGAAACTACTCAGCTTTAAGATGAAATGCACTACGGATACACGTAACAACCCGGGTGAATTATGTCCCCAAAGGTTACATACTATATGATTCCATTTATATAACACTCTTGAAAATTACAGAAATGGAGAACAGATTAGTGGTAGAGGGGAGAGGAGGGCGACGATGTCTGGTTGTAGAAGGGCAACAGGAGGGATCCTTGTGGTGACAGAAACGTTCTGCAGCTCAACTGTGTCAATGTCGATATCCTGGTTGTGATGGAGCAGAATTTTGCAAGATGTTTCCAGTAAAGGAAACTGGGTAAAGGGTACGTGAGAGTGCTCTGCATTATATATTGTGACTGCATGTGAATCTACATTTATATTAAAATAAAAAGCTAAAAAGAAAAGCCATAACATATAAATTAAGATTAAAAATGGCTAACTGTGATGCTTAACTTCAGAATCAGGAAGCCATTGTGGAGGAAGTGTTCCCGATAAGGTTAAAAACAAAAACAAGAAACAGAAACAGACACAGACACTCGTCAATTCTTACTCAGCTGGTTCTCAACTCCTCACCCTCCTTCCTGTTCTAGGGATGGTCTGACAGATTCAGAAATTAACAAGCATGCCCTAAAATAAAGGAACAAAGTGAATACTACTTTAAGAGACTGATAAGGTCACAAAGCAACACTCCAGAATGTCAAAGTTTTGTATTTTTCAACCAAGAGCTATATCCAAGTGTGAGAGGCAGGAGAGCCATCCATGTCTGCAGTAGTTTGAGTGAGAAGACCCAGGCTGTGGTCCCGTTTGCACGTGAACGTTGACGGTGTGGATCAGAAACTTAGTTCCCCAGTGATTTCTGTGTGTGTCAGAGAAGGCGAAAGCACTAGTATTAGGAAGAAGAGATAGAGAAAAGGGACAGGGTTCATGATGAAAGCCAGGTGGCAAAGTAACCCAGATCACAAAGAAACACCACTCTAACCTGACCTCCTCCAGCAGGATATACCTTTAGGAAACTTGTCTTCGAGGCTGTTCTCTGAAAAGTGCCAGAACACCTACTTTTCCATCTCACTAACTTGCCCAAGTATGAGAAGCAGGATTTAAACTGGGGTTCATCTCATTTCTTGGAACATACTATGAGCAACTGTGTTTGTTTAAAATTAATAGGAAATTTTTAATGGCTACTTTAAAGCTACTTGCTATAAGAGAATCGAATACCAGGGACATAATAACAGTGACAACTGTTCACCCGCCCGACCCTACCTGTCTCCCCACACTCTGGCCACTTTTTAAAGAATCTTCACTAATATCACCTTTTACCTTCTGTGAATTTAATGATGAAATGAAGTATATTTTTATTTCCTCTTGTTTGTCTTCATGAGCTTTGCTCATTTCCTATCAGGTCAATTGTTTTTTCCTTATCAATCGGTAAAACTCTTTGTGTATAAAGAAAATGAGCCCTTTTTCATATATGTTGCTAATATTTTTCTCACTCTCTTTTTATTTTGTTTCATAGAGATTTTTGACATAAAATTTTCATCAATTTTATCAATAATTTTACAGAACGATTTTGAGGTTTTTGGTTTTTACATTAATGGATACCTATCATTTCTTTGATTTAGCAAAATGTATGGCTCGTCCTTGTTCATCAACAGACTAATGTAAGTATTTTATTCAGAACCTAAGAATAAAGCCATGAAAAAACTGTGAAATGTTTCTTCTTAAAGAGGGTCTACTAGTTATTTTAGGATCTCAATTTAGGAGCGTCTAGAATAGGAAATGAACTGAAGCGTCTTTCACATACAGAGGGAAGAACACGTGCCAGAGTCTCCGAGAAGTGGAAAAACCAAATGAAAGGAGGAGAAACAAAGAGAATAAGTCCTATGTTCCAAATTCACGTGAGGGAAAACCAATTTTTAAAAATCTTATTCTAAAGACCAAAAAACCTTTGTCAGAGAGAAAAAGGAAAACAAACTTCTAGATTCTTACATATATGGATGAACCTGGGAAAAAGGGGCAAGAGGGAGGAGGGAGGAGGCAGACCAGCCTGGATGCTTCCTGGAGGGCATCTGGGGGAGCTCCTGCCATACCCCGGCCCAGCTGACGGTACTGCCCTTTCCCCAACCTTCCTCCCTCATCACAGCTGCTCCACAACCACCTCCACAGGACTCCGCTTGCACAAAGCCGTGTAGGGTGAGGATGCAGCGTCTTCATG